ACTTTTTTTTACTAGTATATAATATGATACGGTTCGAAAATTCGCAAATTATGAAAGTTGATAAAATTGCGAACTTTTTTTTACTAGTATATAATGTAATTTTAAAATAATTTAATACGGCATCAAGAAAATTGCGAACTTTTTTTTATTAGTACTGTTAAAGAAAATTGCAAAATTCGCAAATATGTAAGTTCCGGAATCTAAAATAACCAAACAACCAAAAAGCAGAGCGAACTTATTGCGTACTTCGAAATAAAAATTTCTTTGAATAATATGAACAAATCCTGTTATTTTTGGCAATAAACACCAAAGCAATTTTTTGAAATCTGAATTAATTTGAAAGGGGATTTTTTTAGCTTTTGTTTTTGTTTTCACCGGAAGCGGAAGTCCACCTCAAGAGAACTGGACACAAAGTACTTACCCCTCCCCTACTAATTAGGGTTTTGTTTCCCACGTGTTTCCAAATAAGGACAAATTGCACCATTTCACAAATTCGCCGGGTAAAGTAAGAACAAGAAAGACAAAGTTGGTTGAATTTTCTTGATATTTCCTTTGATTTCTTTAAGCATTTAGAATTTCACTTTGCCACATAGACTATTTAAGTCCTTCCAAACGTTTGACTCTAAGTTATTTTGGGAAAAAGCTTAAATTTAAGGATTTTTAACGAACGTCAATTCACCAGTGAAAATTCGAAATGTCAAATACAAATGCTGATGGTAGTGAAGCAGCGGACAGAAATGTCGAAATATGGAAAATCAAGAAGCTGATTAAGAGTTTAGAGGCTGCTAGAGGGTAAGATACTAGCTTAGTATTAGTAAGAAACTCTTACGATTCGTATAAGAAGAGTAGAGTATGAATAATGATGATGAATCATCAGCGTCTTTTGAAATAATTTTTGTTAGGGAAAAATTATCTAAACTAATAATCAAATAGAAATAGGATAACTCTTTTTTCAATAGTCTACATACTAATAGGGATTCTATATTACGATAGTTTATTTTTCTTTATCTTTACATTGTTAGTTTTTGAATAAAATTTAATCTTTAGTAGCGGAATTTCTACTGCATTGGACGGCACGTATATAATAAGCTTAATTAAATGTAGTCGTTTAAACGTGTAGAATTTAAGCTTATATGACATTATGCTAAATGTAGTCATATATGAGTAGTTGATTCCTCAACAAACATCTCTCCTAAATTCTGAAGTTGTTTATTAGATAAGATTAAGCAAGAGTTTTTGTTCACCTCTGTATATTAAGTGCAGTGGAAACAGTAACCATGGTCAAATGACCACCCCTTATTATTCCTATTGTCAGTGTTTCCAAGGAAACTGCTATGATATGCCATGAAAATAAACACTTCTGATTGGCTGAAGATGTATCGATGCTATGGTGTCTCTTGCATCCAAAACACAGGGCTTAAAGTATTGGCTGGTCAGTCTCTGGCCATGATTACCTGCCAAATTAGTTTTAACGAGGACATACCTCGTTTCTGAAATGAGGTTACTGGTCAAGATGACTGGCAAAGATTTGACCTAACAATCTCCAGGCCAGACAGTGTCCAATGACTGACCATTATTATTAACCTACTTAAACCAATTTCAGCCAATCACAACCAGGCACTTTGTTAAACATAACATTTGCCTGGGAAACATTGGAAGCTAGACAACTAAACTATATGACAAAGCTTGGTTTAGTGGTAGTGGTGTAGGGAGTAGGGGTAGAGAGGGGGAGTTCCTCTGGATTTGACAGAAACTTTTGCATCAAAATACATTACCTTATCGTTGTTGCATTGATCTCAAATAGTAAATATAATTGTTTCAAATCAAATGAGCCTTGTTTGGTTATCAAGGGTATTGTTTAGATCAGGTATTTTCTGTTGTTTAGGAATGGCACAAGCATGATTTCATTGATAATTCCACCAAAAGATCAGGTGTCCAGAGTTTCTAAGATGTTGGCTGATGAGTTTGGTACTGCCTCCAATATCAAGAGCAGAGTAAACAGATTGTCTGTACTCAGTGCTATTACATCAGTACAACAGCGTCTCAAGCTATACTCCAAGGGTATGTTTACAATCTTATGTTTAGGGGCTTGGGATACCTGTGGTGTATTACACAGTGATACAGTTTTTCCTGATATCTTGAACCCTGGATATTTCAGCAATTCAGGGCTTTTCTCCTGGTTTTCTAATTTGCCTGGATGGTCAAAACAATTCACAAACCCAGACACGCTGAATTTCAAATCAGGCTGTCACATAGCTGTACCCTGACTGAGATCAGCCCAGAGGTTGTTTCAAGGTTTGATCTGTKAGTTAGCCATACCCTGACTGAGGTCAGCCCAGAGTTTGTTTCAGGGTTTGATCTGTTAGTTAGCCATGCCCTGACTTAGATCAGCCCAGAGGTTGTTTCAGGGTTTGATCTGTGAGTTAGCCATACCCTGACTGAGGTCAGCCCAGAGGTTGTTTCAGAGTTTGATAAAAGTGATGTTTGAAATTTGGGATTATTCAGATGCTGTGTTTTTATACCAATATCCTCAGTTGATCTAGTTGATACTTGATATTTTCTGAATACTGATAAGTGAATTTGAATATCATTTCAGTTCCTCCCAATGGACTTGTCGTATATTGTGGAACCATTGTCACAGATGACGGCAAGGAGAAGAAAGTGAACATTGATTTTGAACCTTTCAAGCCAATCAACACTTCTCTTTACTTGTGTGATAACAAATTTCACACTGAGGTACAATTAAATGTTATATTTTGTAAAAAAAATTGTGTTAATTTATAAAATAAATAAAAAAATTGTTCTGAATAAGTAAATTCTGGTTGATACATTATACGATGAATAAAATCAAATGACAATGAAACATATTCATTTAATTTTATCGTTGAACTCTATTATGATTCAATCTTGCCCCCTGGGACTCTGGAAAAATCAGAGTTCTCTACATTTGTGATGTCATAATTTTGTGTATTCTGAAATGCTGTTGGAAAACTGTGAATGATATAAATATTTTAGTACCTGACTAATGATATGCTTGGCTCATAGGCTCTCAATGCTCTCCTAGCTGATGACAACAAATTTGGTTTTATTGTAATGGATGGTAATGGTGCTCTGTTTGGAACACTATGTGGAAATACCAGAGAAGTACTGCACAAGTTTACAGTTGATCTACCAAAGAAACATGGCAAGTGCATTTCATTGTATATTATAAAATAATTCAGAATATAATGCATGCTTAGATTTATGGTCAATAAACCGTGTTTAATGAAATTATCAAATACGCACATGTCATTTTTYCCCGTGCACATGCTCTGATTTGAACTTGAAAAACTGGAAACTACTCCCCTTTGCATTGTAATTACTTACGCTTCTCTCTTGTTCTCACAGCAGTGTTTGATCAGAGTATCAACCACGAAAAACTGTTTTATATTTCTTTAATTTACCTTTACTGATCACTTTGATTTTGTCACTCCAGGGCGTGGTGGACAGTCTGCTTTACGTTTTGCACGTTTGAGAATGGAGAAGAGACACAACTATGTACGAAAAGTTGCAGAGACAGCAGTTCAAATGTACATTACCAATGATAAGGTAAGTAGATTTAAACTTTTGTTTTGGTAAACTGTAAGTGCCAAGTGGATTAAATTTGTGTATGCTCTATTCTGATTTGACTATTTATTGTTTTATTTCTTAGCCCAATATTACAGGTCTCATACTTGCTGGGTCTGCAGATTTCAAATCAGAACTCAGTCAGTCAGATATGTTTGATCAGGTAATTAAAAATTAAATTTGTAAAAAAACCAAGAGAAATAAACGTCGTACCAAAAAGGTTTGGGCATATGCAGACTTTACTGCAATTTTCCATATTCTGCAAACTCGGTAGTTACAAGCTGCATGTTGAAATTTGCATTTTTGCTTTTTTGCTGCCGTCAATCAAAAAATAATTAGTCGGTACCTTTTATGTTCTTGACTGGTGGCAGCAAAAAAATTTACGACAAACCATTGAAATCTCTTATTTCGCAGAATATTGAAAACTGCAGTAATGTAACATTGTCAAAACTGTTACAAATCGGTTTCATAAAGAAACAAAGCAAAGCATAATTTTCCCCCAAATTGCCTCCACATATATCATTGACAGCTTGTTCCCCATGCTCAGTGAGGCTTTGATGCATGGTTTTATGCTGTCTAGAGTATTATTGAACTACTTCACCATCCACTGACAGTCCTTTAGGACAGTTTACCATACAGTGGCATGTTTTGCTAGTTCTGACATTATTACAGTGATTCTTATGATCAGAAGTGTTAAAACAGTTTTTCAGATGACAATTAAAACCATCCTGATTTCAAATACTGTCTAAAGATATCTTTCTCATCTGACATTATTTTTTGAGGTCTCTAAGTACTTATTTGTATAAGTTATTGTTATAATTTACCATTATTTTGTGGATTCTTGGTTGTTAACATGAATGATCACATTGAAAGTCATTTTCTTTAAATATAAAAAACATCAAAAGATTTGTTGATAATTTATTCATTATTTTTTTTAGCGTCTTCAAGCCAAAGTTTTAAAATTAGTGGATGTTTCATATGGTGGAGAAAATGGATTTAATCAGGTAATAATGACAGCTTTCTGACTTTTTATCTCCAAGTCTAAACTGGAATTCTAGAAACAGGGCTTAAAAAAACAACAGTCATCAGACAATGTCCAATTAGAATTGGACATTTTGACCGCAGTAACCTTTAGCCAGAAACAAGGTTTTACTGAGCTAAAAATAATTTGGATGGTCATTATTAATGCAACTAGTGGCTGGCCATAGTTTTAAACCCTGCAGAAACAGTTTGGCTGCACAGCTAGTATTTCATTGGAGTGTCAAAGACATAGTTTAATGGAGGTGGTCATTTATCTTTTACTTAAGGCTATAGAGTTGGCATCTGAGGTATTAGCTAATGTCAAATTCATCCAAGAAAAGAAACTTATAGGTAAGAATACGAAAATAACAGAAGGTGACGCTTTGTAAACTGTTTATGCTAAGATATATGATTGAATATTTTTATTGCATAAACCCAAGAACCCCAGATCACCATCTATAACTGAGAATGTATTCAGGTCTATATAAGTATGGGTTACATAACAGATGCATAGTTACCACATAGCTGATCTGCAGAATGACAATTTGTCTTATAGGAAAGTACTTTGATGAAATTTCACAAGATACCGGAAAATACTGTTTTGGAGTAGAAGACACACTTAAGGTACTTTATTTTTTTTCCATATTGTCAATACTTTTCATTGCTATGGGTGGATCAAAGCAAAAGTCACATCACATTAATCAGCAATAGTCTACTGTAAATTATAAAATAGCTGTTATAAATTTCGCCTTCTGATTGGTTGGGAGCACTTGCTTCATAAGAGCACACAGCATTTGCATGCACTTGCAGTTGCRTCATTCCTATCTAAAATAATGGTTATCATAATTTGTATTTGATAAAAGAAATTGAAATAAAAACCTAGCTTGCTGTGCTGTGTGGAGTTATAAAGCTCTTGGGAATTGGCAGAAAATGCCCCTACGCATCGTGCTTCTCCTAAGACTTCTCTTGAGTTCTGCATGCTTTATAACTGCACGCAGCACACACACACACTTTCTATCTCTTCAATAAAGTCATTAGACTACACAAAAGCCACAAAGGCATGTGGAGGGAACTGTACTCTAAGATTTATTTGATTGAGGGAAGTCAATTGCTAATTAACCTGTTGTAATTTTTGTCTCCATCAGTGAGTATCAATGAAAATAGTTGTAATTATTTCATATTATATTGTTGATGATTTGAAATATTTACCACTTGTGCTATTCCATTCCATCAGGCTTTAGAAATGGGCGCTGTGGATATTCTCATAGTATGGGAAAATCTTGATGTCCAGCGTATTGTTCTTAGAAACCACCAGATAGATGGTAAGATGCTTAAAAAAATTATAGTGAATATTTGAGGTTAAATGATTACTAGATGTGTGAACTTGAGTATATGTCTAGAGCAAATTTTATATAATTGTTAAGAACTCAAAATCCCAGAGCTTAAAATGATGGCCAACCAGACGCCAGTCATGATGACCTGCTAAATAGATCTCATTTGTCTTGGTGCAATGTTACCCTGCATCTCAGTGCCATTCCCTAGAGAGTAAGGTTCTTTGTTTGAGAAGTATCCATGCTGTTAATAATTGCAAATCACTTTTTTGTTACAGTTGATAAAGTCCTACATTTAAATCCTGAGCAAGAAAAAGACAAGACACACTTCATAGATCCAGACGTATGCAAACTTATGGCATTTGAAAAAAAAAAATCCATTTTAGGTTTTTTAAACTTAATTTTAACCGCTGGTATTTATTTTTAGACTGCTGTTGAACTGGAACTTGTTGAGAAGAACCCACTTCTTGAATGGCTAGCTAATAATTATAAATCCTTTGGTGAGTACTTTGGCAGGGAAGACCAGTTTAGATCATTAGTCTAACAATGATCACTGACTTGTATTTCAAAGAACTAACTTCATATCAGCCAAGTAAGGTCAGTCATAGTTCAAATCACTGTTTAATTGTCATTATTTTTAAAAAAATTCAGGTGCAACACTTGAAATTATCACAGACAGATCCCAAGAAGGTGCACAGTTCTGTAGGGGATTTGGTGGCATTGGAGGTAAATTGCATAATGCACGATTTCTGATCATTTTATTAAACCTGGAAGTAGTAAGTGCCTATTGAGCCTCCTTCATGTACCGGACATAGTTTATGTAATTCAATAGAAACATCAAAAGTTATACCCTAGTTATACAATAGGGCGAAGCTAACAAAGAATACAATAGGTTTCCAGTACAGGAATAAGAACCCTAAGGATGAATTGATTTGGAGTACAATGTTCTTACTGTTTGCAATTTCTGCAGGTATCCTGAGGTACCGTGTTGACTTCCAGAGTATGGAATACCAGGGAGAACCATTAGAAGACTACGATGATGAGGAATACTAAACACAGTTAACTAAAGAACTGCTTGGCAATAGACCCCTTGCRGGACATTGGAATGCAGCTGAATTTGGAGGACATAACAATAGGTTTCCAATTTTGAAATTCTTTTGATTTGTCCTCCAAATTGAGCTGCTTTGATGTCACATGCAAGGGGTCTATAAAGTGGTCCAGAAATGAGAACAATAGTGGGACATGCTGATGACCATCTTAAGATACAATATGAACACAAAACAAGTAATTCATAGAAGTTTTCATTCTTGAAAAAAATTACCACTGTTGTGCTATGTATACTATTGTTATGCAGCCAAGGCAACTCCAGATGTTAGGTGTGGGTTTTTAGCTTCTGTCAATCAAAAAATTGCAACTAGAGCTACTGTAAAACTATTGCAAATTTGATTGATTTGAAGTTAACAACTCTGACATCTTGAATTTTTGTTGGTCATTTGGATTGCAATACTATGAAAAGGAATAAAGATCTATCATGTTTTGGTCAGCATTTTAGATATTAACATACTTGCATGTATATCACGTGCAGCCATTTGAAGTGTATATAGGTCCAGATCAAAAATAAAACGTTTTTCATGTCAGAATATYGAGGGCCTAAAAACCGAATATTAATAATAGTATTTACTGATCAGTAACATTATATGTTGTGGTAATTTTTGTTTTGGGAAAATAGTCCTTTTTTTTTTATTAAATGGTTTTTGCTAGACTGATTCCATAAGTAGTAGTTTTCGCTTGTCTTTGATTCCAGAATCGACAATAAAACAAAAACACCGACTTATGGAATAAGTCTAGGTTTTTGCCAAAAATTAATGTCGTGATAAACTGCTTGATTCCTAGTTGTTACATCATGGTCCAGACTCTCCTTAGTTACTGTTGCTATGGCCCACAAGCTCACAACTTTAGCTAACATCTCAGACTATAAAATTCTTGTTGATGGATCGTATAAATTTATTGTAATTGTTTACTATTATGAAAATGTGAAAATAAAATGAAATTGCTGTGTAATCTCACATAATGATATTTTTAGTTGTTTGCTCTAATTGTCCCAGTAGGAATATGCTCCAATCAATCCTAGCATCTATCACTGTTTCACTTGGTCACTTTGGTATTTGCTTTGTTCAATTCTGCATTGGGGGTAATATCCCCAGGGGAACTCGCACACCCCTCCCCTGGGGAAACTTTTAGACTAGCTACTATTAAATCTCAATCATCCAAAATGAACACCACACTTTTACGATTAAGGAAAATACAGGGACCTTAGGAAATGCAGGGGTTGCTTGCATTCTGGAGTAGTAACGATGAGGAAGCATGCGTACTCTTAACCTGCAAATGTTGCCAATGGTGCTAGAAAAGTCTGGCGTCTTTCCTTGGGTAAAAATAGCATTATTTTCTGGTGAACTGTTGTCATATTCTTGCATCTGTAAAAAAAACAAAAACAACTAATTTAAACTATATCAAAGAAGGGAAAAAATAAGATCATGTTCATGCTTATGTGTCAACTGAAATCACATTGGGATACCTGTGGTGTGCGTTGATACGTTTGGTCTTCCTGTGGTAACGTCGACCGAGAAAATAAGGAGCTTGAGGCATAAAGTCAATCCAATCACTGAGATAAGTTCAGTGATTTTTTTGCCATTTTAAAATAATTTTTGAACTATAAAGTCAAGTTATAATAATGTTATTTTAGATGATAAAGCTTATTCACAAGTTTAAGATTTCGTACTCTAGAATTTTAGGTTTTATTTGTAAAGAATCTAAACGAATGGAAGGCTCTGAAAATAACACGTGTTTGGATCAAACACAAACAAAACCATTGGAGAGTTCCAATGATAATCTTCTGACGACGAGCCTGGCTGAGAAAAGACCGATTGAAGAAGGAGAAGAAGGGCAAGATGGAGGTCATAAGGAAAAGAAAATAAAGACTGATGACCAGGAATCAAAGGTAGGGATTAAGAAACTTGAAGTCCGGCTTAAAGAACTTGAAGGCCTGTGAGCTGAAGTTGCTCAAAAYTTTTAGCGAGGAGTTGAGGGACATAACTGATGTTACTTAAGCTTAAACGAATTTCATACTATATGTTACAACGAAGTAAACATTTTTTTTGCATTTTTTCTCCTATGGTAAAAAATGCATCCTTAAGGGTATTAAAAATCTATTTATCCACAGGAAGCCCACTCAAAAAAAAGGTTCTCATATTTCATCTTCACTTCTTACAAAAGGGAGAAGCTCTAGAAAAAATCGATCTATGTCTCCCTCATGGACATGGAGAGACTGATTTTAGGCCTCATCCATATTAATGCATTTTTGTTTGAAAACGCATACTTTTCAATGTGTTTTGGTCTTGCACCCAAATTATGCTTAGAAATGAAGTGTCCCAGAAGTGTGAGCATGCTTTACAGTAAGATCCTCCCCACCTAATGGAAGGTAAAAAGTTCTACGTTGAGACTGTTATACCCAATGTGTTATTGATGATTCATTATTATCCTATAGGTAGACAATTCAGTGGAGAAGACAAATGAAGATGTTCTTCCAAGAAAAAAGAAGTGTGCTCTACTACTGTCGTACTGTGGTGCTGGGTATAATGGCATGCAAATGTAAAACATCGCTCATTTAGTATTATTTTTTATGCATTTTTATTGGTTATCTGTGAAAGCCATTTATAGTTCTCACTAATATTATCCTAATAATTCATTATTAGTAATCCTGGGGTGAATACAATTGAGGAGGAATTAATAAATGCATTATACAAGGCCAAGACAATAACAGAAGATTGTAAAATCAATCCTGGGAAGGTAATAAATAGGTGTATTATTCCCCTAGCCTTTAGGATGTAATATTTAAATATATCCTTATTAATGGCTCTCTTTGTGTTCCTTATTTACCTCTCTACTTCACCTTTCCCTATACCCTATCATTTCCCATGCTCTATCTCCCACTTCATCCCCCTTTCCCTCCCACTTCCACATTATCTCACCATCTCTCTTTCTTCCCTTGCCAATGTTCTCTCTTTCTGCCTCTCTCCCCTATCTCCTCTTTGCCTCTCCCTAACCCATCTCCTTACTCCCTCTCCAATGATCTCCATGTCTCTTTCCCTGACCTTTCATCTACCCCTGTGCCCTCTGGCCTTTTTCCCCTCTCTGTCTTCTTTTTCTCTCTCTCCCTCCTGCTCCCCTATCTTTTTTCTCTTACATCATAATAGGCCTCTGTACAGACTAGTAGTAATGTGACACAGGTTAATTCTTATTGTAACTAATATTTTACCTTACATTATACCAGATGTCATTTCAAAGGTGTGCAAGAACAGACAAAGGTGTATCTGCAGCAAGGCAGATTGTTTCATTAAAGATAAGTGTTTTGTCCAACTAGCTAAAACCTTATATATATAAATTGCTACAACATATCACTCAATTTTTGTACCTTCTTAAGTTATAAAAATCGTCCTTGTATTAAAGAGTTTAGGACTTAATAGCCAGTGGCTAACAAACTTGTGGCCCTTATATAAACAAATTGGAATTTAAAAGTTAATTTTTGTGGAGGCAAGGAAACCAGAGAACCTGGAGAAACATCCTGGAAGTGCAGGATAGAATCAACTAATATAACTCTATGACACTGTGTTACCTGTGCTTCCCAATTAAAATTTTTTTGTCTTTCTTTTCTTTACATGGTTCCACTGAAGAGTCTGATTCCTAAGATCAATGAATATTTACCTCCTGAGATAAGAGTATTTGGTAGGTAAAGCAAAGAAGAAGAAGATTATAAGTAAATGAATAAAAAAGAATGTAAATGTAAATGAATGAATAAAGAAACAAAATAAATGAATGTTAGACAGTGAAATGAATGAATGAGAAAAAAATGAATAAGCAATTGAATATATATAAGAATGAATGGATGGATGGATGGATGAATGGGTGGATGAATGGATGGATGAATGAATGGATAGGTATATGGATGGGCTAGTGAATGAATGAATTATAAATAAAAATGATATCGCCATTTTTAATGGTCTTGATGTAAACATTCCTCTGGCCAGTTTTTGACAAACATGATTTTTATTGCTTAATTTCAGGATTAACAAAAGTAACCAAAGCTTTTGATTGTAAACTAAACTGTTCTGCAAGAACCTATGAGTATCTACTACCAACATTTGCTTTTGCCAAAGATTATGTGAGTACAATCTATAATGTATAATTATAGTGCATAGTAAATGTAATGAATTTTAATTAAGAATATGTACACCGACTTCCAAGCATTTTTAGCTTTCTAGTTATTTTTGGAAGTTGGTACCCCTCAATCTGTCTAACATAAATAATGTATCAAATTACAAAATAATGTAATAATGGGTACATGTACAAATAAAGTTCTTCTATAGTGCATACTACATGTAGTTATAAAGCAAAGTTTAAATTGTGATTTATTGTTTGATATAATAGTTTCAAGTTCCAAATTACTGCTGTGTTTCTTGATTACAGACTCATTTACACAGGGTTAGCCTTAATTTTGTGCAGAATATTCACGTGTCTCAGTCAAGATCTGTGGAATTTCAAAGTGTTTGTATCATTGAAGTTGTGCATTCTTTACTTTACCCTTGGTATTGGTGAATATTGTGACACTGATACGAGGCTAACCCTGAGTAAATAAGTCTGTAATCAAGGAACACATTGGTAATCTGGAACKCGAAAATGGTCTATTATTCCAAGTAACAAGAGTATGTTTACCTTTTTCTCCAGCAAACAACAAAAAATTACAGGTTAACAGGTAAGTTTAATATGACCAATAAAAATTAAAAAGCTAATGATTTTAAAACTTGGGCAATAGACCTGGGGGAAAACCCTTACCAAATCCTATAGGCCGAGGGCTTAGAACTGGGATTCTGCAGCATTTAACATTTATGTAGTTATAGTACACTCAACAAAATTACTCGACTCTGATTGGTCGAGAGGAGTACAATTATAGCGTTAATTGTACTCCGTAGGAGTACCGAATTAAGTCGCTATGGCAACACGGCCAAAACAATGTCAAAACAATTATTTTCTATCATTTTGTACTTAAAAAGCATAAATAAAATTTTAAAGYCATAAGAACTAATCTTTTTTATGCATTTCAGTTGCACGAAATCGCACTGGAAATCGGCTGCCAAATAGACAAAGATGAACGGCGTCGCTTCGCATTTTTTACTGAAATTTTGTTGAGTGAACTATAAACAAAAAATCGCACGATCTTCTCGTACAATTTGGAATTAATAGACACTCGTAATGTTTTGAAMGTTCTTTAATTGTACTCGCCTAAAGGCTCGTGCAATTACAAGAACTTTCAAAACATTACTCGTGTCTATTAATTTCCAAATTGTACTCGAGATCGTGTGATTTCCTATACTAATAAATCTTTATTGTTATCAGATGAAAAACTAGCTGAAATCAATGAAGTTCTGTCTGTCTATGTTGGTACCAGAAACTATCATAATTTTACATCTGGAAAGTAAGTACAAAAATCTAAAATAAAATCAGCTCTTTTGTTATATCTCATATCAATTACACAATAAACTGTATTATTTTAATATGACTGAAGTCTGAAGGATAAGGAACTGATGACAATGATTGTATTTCCAGGAAGTTTGAAGACCCAAGTGCCATGAGATACATTAAAAGCTTTGTGGTATGTACTAGGTGCATTCCCAAACTCTTCACTGAAATGGGAATTAGATTTTTACTTTATACAGTGATTTCTTAAGGATCATCTGTAGACATCACACAAGCATGAGTTTCATTCTGGTATGAAACAAAAGAAGACCTCATTTTGAATACTTTTGAATACTTTTTGACCCCTTGCAACATCCTTAATCCATGTAATACTGTTGGGATTTGTGGATTTTCTGAGGATAAAATGAGGCTAACGCTGAATAAATTAGTTTGTCTAGGAACCAGGGGCCGCAGAGCAGCCCAAAGAGTGGGGGGGCTAGCAACCCCARAGTCGTTTTTTTCGGGGGGTCGGGAGGCATGCTCCCCCGGAAAATTTTACAATCTTAAACTCTCCAGATGCGCTTTGCAGCATTCTGAGGCAGTATTTTAGCACAAACATTCCTATTCTCTTATCTTTGTGTCTACATCCTCAGACACCCTAAATGAATAATGCATCAGTGAAATAATGTCGATGCTAGCAAATACTTTAATTCTAAGTAAATACTCACCTTTTTTTGAAGAAAAAGTCTTTTAAAGGTCTTTGAATTTTCTAATTTATAAGCAATAAGAGCAAGCACTGAATGTGGTCCTCATCAGGCATGCGAAAGAAATGCGTTTTGTGGGTTACAAGCTGAACATAAATTTTGTGGGCTCCGATATGAATAAATGATAGACGTATGAAACACATAAAAAAATTTGATTATGAAGAAATTACAAAAAAAATATGATCATGAATAAAAATTATAATAATAATCTACGGCCCCTGGGAACACACTGGTATTGTACAAAATTGAAGAAGATCTAACATGCAAACAGCTTCATGAAAAATTATATTTTATATTCTTCACTTACATTAACGTGTACCTTATTATTCTCTGTTGATATTTCAGTGTGGAAAACCTTTTATGAGCAATAACATTGAATTTGTAGTTTTAACTATCAAAGGACAAAGCTTTGTTCTCCACCAGATAAGGAAGATGATTGGTTAGTATTGATAGTAACTCAACCATTTTTATTATTTTTTTGCAGGCTTTCCTTGTAGTGCTAATTATTAACTACAACCTATCTATCTCTTATTTACTGGATGCATGTAGGTCTAGCAATAGCAATACTCAGGGGTGTTGCACCAAGGTCTACTTTTGATTTGGCTTGGCTAAAACGGAAAGTAAGTCTTGTGGTAGATCGTTTACAAGAATGCAGGCAACAAATTTGAGTAACTTACATTGTCACATTGCAATCTTCCAATAGAGGCTTTGCAACCATCACGTGATGGCAGCCATGACAGGAGGCACAACAATAGAGTCTTTTCTCCCTGAGAAACTGAATTCTTTCTCATGTAAATCAGATTAGACCAGATTCAATTGTTCCTGCCTCCTGACACTGCTGCCTTATGTGATGGTTCAAGGCCTCTATTCTAATTTCTATCTTGCCTTACAAATGTTGAATAGTTTGATTCTGTTGTCTCAGGTTGATATACCCAAAGCTCCAGCTCTAGGGCTTGCTCTTGACAAAGTAAGTAACGTGTTTCTCAATTGTTTTAGGAGCAGGTGCATGTCAGCTGGTTAGTGTGTGGCCTTCAGAGCTAGAGGTCCACCATTCCATCCTCAGGATCTCCATGTCTGTATTGACTTCAATTCAATAAATTCCCATCCATTCATCTCTTTTTTCATCCATTTGCATGTAGGTTCATTTTGATGCATATAATAAGAGGTTTGGTTCTGACGGAATCCACGACCCACTTGAATGGGAGGATGCCGAGGTAAGTGTTACATCACTTGATTAATAATAGTCTTAAATGATTATGGATGGCGTAGTGGCTTACTGCTCACCTCTCACTTATCTATTTCCAAATATTGCCGGCTGAGCCTTACCAAAAATCAACATCAAATTTGAAGAACTTATTGAATTAAGAATTATTTTTATTGGTTGTTGTACAGTAGACCTCAAATATGAGAGTTTTGCTAAACACTTCCTAGTAACCTTCCACGCAACAGTGTCACACATTTTCTAAAGCCGGGTAATGTGGAAATACCTTTCAAATGTAGGTTTTGACTTCAGAAATAATGTTTTATATTGATTCAATGAATATTTCTATCATGGAAATAAGGTATTCACAATATTGAATGTGATTTTGTTCTTGGCAATTTGGCCGCCATCTTGGTGTACCTCTGAGGTACCCCAAGATGGTGGCCCCATGCATTTTACACTAAATAATGAACAAATTTGATCGTTTATATTTCGGAATCAAAATCTTCTCATAATGCAAAATTTGGTTGAGATACATTGTTTTTATCTCTCTTTCGGGTGCAAGACCTTTTATTCAATCATCCTCAATATTAGGCCCAGAAAATGTTACGACGAAGTCATTGAAATCGATCTATAGCACAGAGCTTTATATAAATTGTAGTGAAATTTCTACGGCTTAAACTTTGGAGAAAACGTTTTTAAAGACTATTAATTTTTGATTTTTTCTACAGGAGGACATATCCAAATTCAAGGCTGCATATATTCACAAGCACATGATTGAGACTGAAATGAAAGACCACACGTATCCACCCGCCTGCCATATATTATATTTCATACCAAGAGAGCATAAATAAGAGAGGGAAACGCGCGCGCCATTAATGTAAATTCCCGGTCAGGCAATTTTTAGTAACCGGATGCAGTTTAAATTTCGCCTTAGCCTACTCCCCTGCGCATCAACTTGCGCGCGCGCTCTTTCCGTTTATTGTATTGATCACTAGAAGTTTCCCTCTTATTTATGCTTTCTTGATTATACTCATTTTTATTTTCTTGTGATTATCCTTTTCTGCGGAATGAGCTCTGAAAAAACCCAAGAAGAAAGTTGTTATGACTTCGATATCACGTCTATAGACTTTACTCACGTTTTAACGAATTCAGAACGTCTGAGAATGATTTTTAGATGCTGAGATTTATTGCGTGCAATTTTGTAAGTTAAATATCATGCATCGTGGCTCAAGAAAACATGCGCAATTTAGTAGAGTGGAACATACAGAGAAATATACTTGTTGAAACGCGCGTCTGAATTCAGGGAAAACTTAGAAAAGGGATCACTGAGTGAGAGTAGCCGTAATGCATTCTCCTCTGGACTCCTTCATCACATGTGAATCTCTCCCTTGATTCGACGGTTTTACTCCGGGTCCTCCGGTTTTCCTTCCTCCGCAAAAACGAACACACTAAATTTCAAATCAATCTGTGGGTTACCCGTGCCCTGACTTTGATCAGCCCAGAGGTTGTTTCGGGTTTTAGTATAACACTTGAAGGATTTTAGGGAGAAGGTGACATCTGTACGTTTCAGTGCTACCCATACCGTCTTTGAAGGTGAGATAAGAGTTAAGGCGGAGTAAAGAACATTTGTGATAACTTTCATGAAATCAATGTATGAATGTACAACACCCTTAACTGTGTTACAGTATGATGCGATGGTTGAATACGCTCAGCGGACATACGTACAACAATGAAGGGATGGAAGAGATCAAATCCGCAAAGAATGAGGAAGAATCCGCAAAAAATGATGAAGAATCCGCAAAGAACGACGAAGAATCCGCAAAATATGACAAAGAATCTCGAGAAGCTCCTCAAGAAGCTTCTGAATCTGAAGACAAAAGTTAACATGCAGTACAAACTGAATCTTTACCACGAGTGACCCAACCTCGGCTCTTGTGGTTAGCTTCACCTTATATTTTTTTATTAGGTTTCGTTAATATACAAGCTCAATATTCCACATTTACTTCAAGGAACTAACTAGATTCTAAATTCCAATTCGATCTGGGGAAGAGAGTAATCACTCCCAGCATGATGGACGAAATCTAACCATAAGAGCCGGGAGTTTGGACCGCCTATGTCTTCACTAAGTATAACTGTAACAGTTCGTATAACTGTGAAGGAGAACTACAGACATCATGGTGGTGTTATAGGATATACTTGAACCAATAACAGCTCGCGAGGTTACTGCTCTTCCAATAAGAATGCTTGAATCAGCCGTCTAGTGATCACAACACGCCCCGTTTTCCACACTCACGCCAATCAATCTTGTTTAGCAAAAGACAAAACCATTTCCAAATCACTCGGATGATTTCATTGAGCTTAGCTCCAGAGAATTATAAAGTCAATGACAATATTTTATCCAGGTTATCTCGGGGAACGAGCGCAAAGATTGTTGTAGTTGATCAGGCGGCTCTAGTTGGGGAGTCTTCCTCTCCCCCCCCCCCCCCCCAAGTGTCGCTACGCATGCTAAAACATTTCAAAACAAGTTGCCAATTACTAAACTCATGTTTTATTTTCGTGATATTTAATATAACTACCTTAAAATATTAAGATGTGATTAAGTAATTGCAACCATATTCAACTTCTAATAAAAAATTTCCCTTACAAAGAAAAACTATTTTAAATCTTGGGCGTTGCATGTTGAGATAGGAAGGTATGAGGGACACCTCCTTGTCGAAAAAATACTTTTAAATAAAAGTTGACCCTCGTAGTAGGACGCACAAAAAAATTCTTTGGATACGATGGGGCTCGAACCAACCCTAAAACTTAAACTGTTCTGCGCTAGTTCACTTATATTCTTATCAGTTATGTCACTAACTTTCCCAGAGAATGGGACCTCCGATACCCCCTTTGGAAAATTTTGGCTACGCCTTTGGTTGATACCATCTAGAAGGACAATTCATTTCTGAGAGCAGCGTCACGGTCCTTTCAATCGGTATGATAATACCGTCTAGAAGGACAATCCATCTTTGAATTTCAGTTTCATTTCAAATTTCAGAAAAAAGGAATCGAAATCTTTTTTGAAAAAAAATTCTTTGGATACGATGGGGCTCGAACCAACCCTAAAACTTAAGGAAAAAAAAGAAGAAGAAAAACGATTCTAATGTGCCATACCCCCGAGACATCCGCAGAGCTGAGGCGGCGTATGGACTTCGGACCTGACGGCGATTAAATCCTTCTGCCCTTGGKTGYACGAATTACGCAAGAAAATGTTCTAGCCGAAGCATCAGGGGAGAGACCAGCCGGCCCCCAGACCATATCGGCTAATCCCTTGCATCTCTGCCACGCACGGAATCGATTGAAAAATTGATGTCAAAAAGTCTAGTCTATTCGGTGCATTGTTTTCACGGCTATTGTTATGATGATTCACCTGGAACCGTGGTCCAGTGGAAAAAACTAGGGGCAGTGACATCGAGTCAAGTCCGATTGAGGGAAGTTAGTACCTGGATGGGTGACCTGAAATTTATGCCTACTAAAAAAAGATTTGCGAGTTTTTTGTTGTCGTAACTTCCAACCAATTTCGCCGAGATTGCAAAGAATTTTGTTCTGTCGTGATGTTAAAAGAAGTATGGGAATGATTGGAACTTGAGAATGGAATAAAATAGAATCACGGAAAACGCTTGTTCGGTTGTGTTTGTTGTTGTTGGCTGGTAGTTGTTTTTTTTTTGTTTTAGTTTTTGTTTTGCAAACTGTTTTCTATTTCATACATGCTGGTGTTTTCTTTCTTTCGTTTTTTCTTTCTTTTTCTTTTTCTTTCTTTTTTCTCTTTCGTGAGATTTTTTCTCTTTCTTTCTCTTTTGTGAGGTATCTGAGCCCACGATTCTTTGTTAAGCGGTCTAACCTATTACTTAAACATATACTTCATGGAATTGCTTCATAAGTTCTTTCCCAATCAAAACAATCCATGACACACTAGTTGGTTAGGCCATCAAGTATTTGCACAAGGCATGGATTCAGACATGGCGAACGAACCTTTATGGGGAGAAGTTGAAGAAATTTCTTCCAAAACACCTAGTTCTCTCATCGATGCTATCGAAATGAAGGCAGTAGACTATGAACTACCTCGTCTACATCAACCATCATCTGAAAACTGCCCACCGAAAGACGAGTGAGTAATGATAATTGAGAGTCAGGAATCTTTGTCTTCAAGCGTTGAATATAAAATATTATGTTCTCTTTCGTTTGTAGGTTGCCTTCAGAGTTCCTCCCATCGGTTAAATGTCCTTTGGATCGACACAAACAAAACATTATGCTTCACTCCATTGAACTACAGTATCATAAACGTCGAATGAGACTTATATTGATGGCGGCTCAGCATCAGCAAGCGGATTCCGCGGTAAGGTGACAGACAGAGGTGTCCTAAAAAGCAGCACTAAAAACACTAAGAAAAAAAGGAAATAAGGGATTAAACAGATACTAAATGTTGACCAATGTTTCGGACTTTTATCTCAGTTACTTAGAATAACAGAGTAAGGCTAGAAAACAATAGTCCCCTTCACAGTTCCCTGCGCCATCTTGAAAGGTAGCCATGCCTTTGCATCAAAGCAAGCTCACCGTTCCTCTTGCTTCAATGCAAAGGCATTGCTACCTTTCAAGATGGCCAGGGAACTATTACTGTGAAACAAAATTATAACTGTACGTGTTCTCTTGTAAAGGGTTCACCCCCAACCAATCAGAAAGCAAGTTTTATGACAGCTGTCTTTAAATTCCTATAGAAGACAGATACAAGTGAGCATGTACATCAACCTCTACCAGCACACCCTTCCAAACCAAGCAGATTTTGTGCCAGTCAGGGTATTATCACTCCACCAACACATTCTACTCTGATATCTAGAATGCACTCTCAACCCAGGTATATGTATGGCTCCTATTAATGAGAATATTTATATTTCAATAGCCTAGCCCTTATTTTATGAGGGTAATGATAAATATAATTAATTCTACAGGTATTATAGCCATAATGTTCTTTTGGTCATTTACAGTGCGACTTCATTAACCAAGGCCCGGGGAGGGGGGGGGTACTCCCCTATATTTGCTATACGGGTACGTGCCACCAAACAGGGTATGGTTTTCAGTGATTCTGTTTGTTTTTTGACAGCCTTCATGATCAACCACCACCATTAGTTTACCCTCGTCTTGATAGTTCATCAAACCGACAGCTTTTACTAAGATCTGTGGCTTCTATTTGTGCTTTTTCAGGATTCGAAAGTGAGTTTTCTGTTGAAGCTGCGCGAGCGATATATCTTTTAGAACTGTCTTTTCAGTTAACCTTTTTAACCTTGGCTTCAGGTTGAAATTGGACTTGATGAATACAGTAAACGTATGAATACATCAAGTCCATCCTCAACTTGTAGTCATTGTATCATTTTTACTCAAGACAATTCAGGAAGGATCTATTACAACACAAGCTTAAACATAGGCAACAAACACATGCAGACTCTTCTCTGACTTAATTATAGGCATGAGAGAATGCAATGCAATTAAAAAGTAAAAACATCAAATTACATAAAAAATAAATWAATTAATTAAAAGAAAAACCGTCCTTCTTTCACGAGGATAGCACTTAATAGCCAGTGGCTAACAAACCTGTGGCCCTCATTCCGTGATCGAATTGGAATTTGGGAGTTGATTTTTGCGGAGGGAGGAAAACTGGAGAATCTTGAAAACCCTTGAAGCACAGGAGAGAACCAACAAACAACTCTACTCATATACAACACCGAACCCGGCGGGACTCGAACTCGGGTCACATTGATGAGAGGCCAGCGCTCACACAGCTACGCCACCTGTTCTTCCCTAAAATAATGATAATTATTGTAAAAATTAATTGTTTATGGATTGTATTACTGTTTCTATCAATATATGATTTGTTGATTTTTAAATTTTTTCATAAATTTTTTTTCATTTATTTGATTTTTCAAATAAAAAGTGTGTAATGAGGCAGCATTGGAGTCTCTGACAGATATCCTTCATGACTTCAACACAAGATTCTGTAAACTTCTTAGAGCTGCTGTGGATGACGAGGCAATGACTGGAGGAACACCATTCCCAGTAAGATTTTCCAATAATCAAATATAGAAGTTGAAGCACTAAAATGTTCTTTAATCAATATCAGTGCATTGCATAGATCAATAAGCCTTTTCATAGTTTAAGAATGGATTCCACTGCGCATGCGATTTTATCCCGAATTTCTCACCTTTTGTTTAATTAAGAACAAAAGAAGGTTTAGACAAAAGAAAGTGAGAAATTTGGGATAAAATCRCAATGGCTGTGGAATCAATTCTTAAACTATGAAAAGGCTTATTGTTTTGTGAAAATGTTAAACAAAAGAAACAAAAAATCCTACTAGGGTTTGAATGACATGTGGTCTGGAATGGGAAAACTTTCTGCTCAAGTTAGAAAAAATCCATCATAACAAACTACATTAGCCAAACTGTTAAGAACAAATACCTGATTATCTTAGGTTCTTAGATATAAAAATCATTGCTATTCGTGGTTGTAATTTTGTTTTATTTTATATCTATTTTAGGATGTAATTGATGGTGCTCTTCATGAAATTGGTATTGGGGGAATATCTACACTACAGAAATATTGGAATAACAATGTCCAGGAATATGCTTTGAGACTTGAGAAAGAGGATGATCAATTAATACAAGAATACCAACAGTTATCAGTAAGAAACCATCAAAAGRATAATTAATTTATAATTTTTTGTCCGTGATCAAGGGATCAAGGGTGTCATAGTGGTTAAGTGCACTCACGTTTCACCTCTGGGCTGGGTCTCAGCTTTGATTCCTGGGCTCAGTATCACATGTGAGTAGAGTTTGTTAGGTCTCTCCCTTCACTGAAAAGGATTTCTACAAGTTCTCTGGTTTTCCTTCTGCAAAACCTAACTTAGAGTTATAAGTTAGGTCTAGTTTTATCATGTGCCCAGAGGTTGTTACAAGGATGTATCTATGGAATTTGTAAAACTAAAATGCAACATTCAAATTTGATCTTTAAATTACTCATGTCTTGATTTTAAATTGATTTTTTCAACAGGATCCTTTGACAAGAACCTCTTTCCATGAAGATACTTCTAGCAATTTTCCTTCTGTGTAAGAAACATGAAAGAAAAATTGTACCTTCCGTAAACTAGCAGACTCCATACTCCAAGCTTATCCATTCACAATAAATTTATTAGGATGGTCCAGGAATTTTTGAGAGGAGGGGTGCAAATGTGAGAGGGCCAGGTTCCAAACTTTGAGAGGGGGTCCAAATGTATACTTCATGTGGGGAATGCTTTGGACCTGGTGAGGCTGGATTTTAGAATGGAGCGATCAGGTGGGCCTTGGTTATGATGGGGATCTGGATCCCCTGACCCTCCCCCCCAGTCTGCCACTGGTCCACCATCATTGTGTAATTCTGCTCCCCTCCTGCAGGCTAATAGATACATAATGTGGTGAATGGAAACTATATAATAATATTTTTTTGTCCTTTAGAAAAATGGAAGAAGAAGTGGAGGGCAAATACTCTTCATCTCTGGCTTTCAGAACCATGTCAGGGGTACGTACATGTATACAATACACTTGACTCTATTGGGATCAAGGGTAGTGCAGTATTAGTGCACTTGTCTATCACCACAGGGGTCTCAGTTTTAGTTGATTCCCTGACTTGGTGCCAAATGTAAATAAAGTTCGTTAGTTCTGTCCCCTGATTCAAGGGGTTTCTGTTTGCTCTTGGTTAAGCATGGAGAAGGGTCTTGTCCTTGRCCACTGCAATGTAACCTATTGACTTTCACTATTTTATTTCTTTCAGAGTGATCAAAATTCTGAATGCTCAGGCACGAGGTACTGTCTTTTACTTAATGTCGTTGCTGTGTGGAATTTCTTGCTCATATTTGTGTTTGTAAACTATAATAATATTTTGCCTGTTGTTTTTGTAGTCCCTATGGAACCGCAGTCCCTTCGAATGGTGCAGGTGAGTTAGTATCTCAAAACAGTGGTAGATATTATTGATGAATTTATTAATGAGCCAGGAAAGAAATTTGTTATCTGTTTCTAGCTGAGAAAAAAACTCAAAAAAAAAAAAAAAAAAAAAAAAAAAAAAAAAAAAAAAAAAAAGAAAGAAAGAAAAAAGAAAATCAAAGTCCCTGATAGGAATGTAGATAATATTGTTGTAAGTGGTTTGGGTGAACTTTAATTAGTCTAATGCTGTGAGTGTCTTTACATGCGCAACCGTTAAACAAAGAAATGATACTCTAGGGAATGACATGATGTGGTCTGAAATGGGAAAACATTACGCCCAAGGCACCCCTAGAAAGCCCTCATCAATTGCTTCTCAGATACATATACTTCCCGCAGGTTGCTTGCCAGAGGACTAGAATGTTTGGATTATAAAGTGATAGTAAGTAATATTCTTGTTTTCCTTTAGCCACTGCTGAGGTGAACAGTGACCCAAGTTCACCACACTGGACAATGCATTATAAGACGGAACCTGTAGAAGAGGGTTATGAGGACCCAATATCTGTTGTACCTGCAACTCCACAGCCTACTTCGTGATGCTGATGTGCAGATAATGGCYAAAGGTCATCGCACTGGACAATGCATTATAAGACGGAACCTGTGGAAGAGGGTTATGAGGACCCAATATCTGTTGTACCTGCAACTCCACAGCCTACTTCGTGATGCTGATGTACAGATAGTGGCCAAAGCTCATCGCACTGGACAATACATTATGAGATAGAACCCTCAGAAGAGGGGTATGAGGACCCTATATCTGTCGTACGAGCAACTCCACAGCCTGCCTTGTAATGCTGATGTGCAGATAGTTACTTGTAGAGTTATTTATTCAAGAAGAAGAATAAAAAGAAGAAGAAGAAGAACTTAAGAAGCGTAAAAGGCATATCCTCAAAAAAAAAAAAAAAGAGAGAGAGAGTAGTAAATTGTGATGTAGTCTGTACACGGACGAGGGGTTGAATTCTTGCCTAAATTAACTAGTGTATAAGAAATATTATTTTCTTGCTTATTTCATATGACTATACGGAAAGTCGACCTACTTTCAAATCGTTCATCTCATAACTTGTCTAGCGCTAGCGCTGTTGCGTACGACTTTCAAGGTCTTGTTAAACGTTGAAAGTTTTGGCTAAAACTTATTAACGTCAGAAGATGTGACTAGCTTAAAACTAGTGTGAGCTGCGTCGGTGTTTCTAATGAAACAGTAATGATAAAAAGGTAGATTATACACCGTGAAAAAGATGAAAAAACTTACTGACGTTTCGGACGCTAGTCCTTCGTCTTATTAACGTCATGAAAGTTCCGTTCCACAAGGTAGGATAATTCCTCTAGAAACATGTCTTCCAATGCTGTCTAACATAAATTTCAGCTAACAGTTCGAGAACACAAGCTTTCTTGATTTTCGTAAATAATTCGTAAGTTTCCTGGTTTATTAGGCCATATGCTCTATCATTTTTTCATTCTTTCTGTTCCCCTTATCGGATATCTGAAGTTGGCGTGACATATGTTAGACGTTGCGTGACATGATTCATATGACATGACTGCAGATCACATGAAACAAATGTGAGCCCTGCTGCCAGGCATTGCAAAAGATCACCAAGAGAGCTTTCAAATACCATACAAGTACGTTTGGCGTTACAATTAAATTCTGAAGTAAGGTGTATATACAAGGTATGCTAAACTATATTGAACCATAGTATAAATGTGTGGTTTTTGTCGATAACGAATTGAACCGTCGAGAATTTGGTTAAGTTTGGCTCGGGTCAACGGTTTGAGCTTCAAATTGAAGACTACACGGAAATGTGGTTCCAGTACCGTGGTTCTGAAAATCCGAAATTTTTTCTTTCAGTCAATGCAAGAGTCAAATTTAGAAACTGAGCGCTGGGTTAAGTTTTATGCTTGGATTTCTTAGTATGATTGCAGAGAATCTAGTTAACTCAAACCTAGGGGGAGGGGCAGGGGAATGTGTCGACTAGGCAGCTGTTATGTAAGAAGCAGGCAGCTTGGCACAGCAATAACTAAAAGGGCATTTGCTTAGACCCAGAAAAATGAGGACGCGGATTCAAACTCATGTTTACACTGACTGACCTGAGTTAGTCATTTTTGATTGACGGAAGTCAAACTGGACCGGCGACGCCTAAAAGTCGTTGAAGCCACAGAAACGTGAAGACTACAAAAAAATCAACGTTCGCTGAAATCGTAATAAAGGGAAGTCTGTTGACTGTGAAGCAAAAAGTCTCAGTATTCCTATATGTTGACATATTATTGTTTGATTTACAGGAAGACCATGCCATCATCATCGTTCTGTGTCATCGTGGTCCTAATATCCTTAGTTGCCTCAACTCATTGCCAATACATACCTACCTGGGAGTCCCTTGACTCCAGGCCCCTCCCATCATGGTATGACGATGCCAAGTTTGGTATAATAATGCATTGGGGACTATACTCCGTGCCAAGCTTTGGTGTGGCTGCAGAGTGGTTCTGGAATTACTGGAAAAGTGGCTCTCCACAGTACCAGGAATTCATGACTAAGACGTATGGCCCTAGCTTTCAGTATGCAGACTTTGCACCGATGTTTAAAGCAGAGCTTTTTGATCCTGATGTCTTTGCAGCACTTGTTGAAAAGTCAGGAGCGAAGTGAGTAGAATGGAGTAAAACTCATTAGTTATCTATATAGATACATTATTTATTACGCGTTTCTGATTAGTGCAGGGCCTGATCTATATCTTAACGTCCTACGCAGAAGTTCTCATGGTCTGTCACGCAACGTTTCCCTTGCCTTGTTGCGTGACAGATCATGAGAACTTGGGTGCCAAGCAAAATTTAGGAAGTCCTTGACAACAATGCAGTCTTTAAATAAATCCAAATTGTGTGAAAATGCATTTTAGGTTCTTTGAATAAACATTTACGATTTCTGCGTTAAGGCGAACCCTGTAATTGTAAGCTCTTTTCACTTCTGTTTCTTTCGTTACTTTACTATACATTTATTTTCCCTATAATTTCAGGTACTTTCTTCTTACGAGTAAACACCACGAAGGTTGGACCAACTGGAGATCAAACGTGTCATGGAACTGGAACTCGGTGRATAATGGACCCCACAGGGATCTTGTGGGTGCGTCTGATTTAGTGTTTAAAAAACCCTGAAACAACCTCTGGGCTGATCTAAGTCAGTAACTCACAGATCGAACCCTGAAACAACCTCTGGGCTGATCTAAGTCAGGGCATGGCTAACTCACAGATCGAACCCTGAAACAACCTCTAGGCTAGAAATCGGAGGACCCATAGAAAAACCCTTGATTCAAGGGTTGTTCCGGTTGTGCGTGAAATATTTTACCAGTGGAATTGCAAAGATTCCAATAGAGGTATACATGGATAATTGAGAAGAAAGAGGTAGTTGTTTGCCCTTGAAGCCTTGTATATCATATCGTTCACCAACATCACTGGTAGAGAAAGACATCTGACACAAGGGATTGACCTCCACTGTGAAATAACCTTCAGCACGCATGCGCAACAATGACGCAACGATCGTTACTAACAGATTTCCCAAATTACGCATTTTACGACTTCAACGCTATTTATTTCCAGGTGAATTGGCAGACAGTATTCGAGCCAACACGGACGTCAAATTTGGACTTTATTTTTCTCAATTTGAGTGGTACRATCCATTGTTCTTGAAGGACAAGTCCTCTGGATACAAGACGAATACATACGTAGAGGTTCGTACTTAACACACTATTTATCCAATACCATTGAAATTACTGCCAATCAGAATACAGCCAATCAAAATACAGTACGGCGCTGTGTATTCAAARGACGGTTGTGATAATATATAGCAATGCGGCGTTCGGAATCGAACCGTAAGACCTTTACATTCAGTTGCGCCTTTCTTCCACTTCAAATTTTATTCTTCGCTAGACATTTTGCTCTGTCATGATTCATGGACCGTTTAGGGCGTCAAGCAAGAGTGATTATATCCCTAAGACATTTTGGTATGAAAATAATGAAATGTCTGACGACAAATGAGAACAGTGCATTTGAACTCTGGCATTGAACCAGTTATTTGGATACTGATTGCAGGAAATCTCCCAACCTCAGTTACACGATATTGTCACAAAATACAGACCTGAGTACATTTTCTCTGATGGGGATGTTGGTCCACCCGAGTACTGGAAGAGTTTGGAATTCTTAGCTTGGTTGTATAATGAAAGGTGGGCCAAGTTAATCATAATTTCATAGTTCCTAATATTGCATAGTTGAGCGCATATGACATTAATATAACCGCATGTTGATTAAGTATCATGGCGGCCGAGTTAGTTTATATCCTCATTTGATAAAGTGATACCTCTATTGAGTGGACACAGCTGCACCGATCCCAAAATGTTCCTCCCATATACAATTGTACCTGTATATAGCGGACACCTTCGGGAACCGTGCAGCGGTTGGTTTAATAAAGGTTATGCGCTTAATAGAGGTACCACTGTATTTACTGTAAAAACAACCTCTATTCAACGGACACCAGGTAAGGTCCCGAAGATGTCCGCCTAACACAGGTATTACTGTAGTTCGAGCAATAATCTTTGATGAGATCTAATGTTTAATGAATGATTTATAGCCCTGTCAAAGATACAGTTGTTGTCAATGATCGATGGGGTTCAGGAGTATGGTGCAAACATGGTGGCGTATGGACCTGTAGTGATCGATATAATCCAGGTATATAATCCAAGTGTCGTTTTACCATGGTATATATCTTGGTCAATTTGCTTTCTTACCGTACATTATATATTTTTATTATATTTCGATAGTGATATATTGAAAAAACGTGCGCGCGTTCTGTGTGGAGTTATAAAGCACGAGGAGAGTAGCAGAACACGAGAAACGTGTTAGGGAGAGTAGGACGCATAGCCTTATGATTGCGCAAAGTATGCGCGTGTTCTCTATTTTTTCACTTTTTTTAATAAGTACACATTTAATTACCCGTAGGACAAATAGAGAAAGTGCGCATTTGTGCTCTCATAAAGCACGCGCCCCCAACCAATCAGGAAGCGAGATCGGTATAAAGAGTTATTAAACATACACCGTCGGAATGTACCCCTATGCAAGAGTTGTTCACTAATCAATGTTATACCTTGGGTACCTGTATGTAGGTGTTCTACTCAAACACAAGTGGGAGAATGCCATGACAGTTGACAAGATGTCCTGGGGGCTTAGGCGTGATGCTGATATATTTTCCTACATGTCGATAGAGGAACTGATATATCAATTGGCTTCCACGGTCAGGTATGTTCTCCATATCAGCGGGGCCATGCGCGCCAGAAATGGATGTTGTATAACGTACTCTACTCACAAACGCGTTGCATGTGAGAACAGTTTGTTAAATTTCTCTTGATTCGAGGGTTCTCCGGACGAGAATAAAAAGCTCCTCCCTCTTGTTTCCCCCATTCAGACCCGCAATCCTTTGAACCACGTGATCGCTACCAAGCCTCCTCTGCTCTTAACTATTTCACCGTGACCTTGCCGTTTGCTGCGATTTTTAACACTCGTACATTTAAATAGTTGTGGTGGCAATATGCTTCTCAACGTTGGACCAAGTGCCGATGGCCGCATTGTACCTGTATTCCAGGAACGATTGGTCCAGATAGGTACCTGGCTTGATGTGAATGGCGAAGCCATCTATGGAACACGACCATGGAGAGTACAGAATGACACCAATGACATCTGGTATGTACGAAACATCTACCTCTATATTGACCTCTATATACCAGTCAACCCCTAATTACCGGCCAGATGAAAAATTCAAAAGAGGGTTTTGCGGTAATTTATACCTCTATTAAGCGACCAACCTCTACCGGCCGGTTGCCAAAGTATAAAGCCAAACACAATTAACGGGCAGTTGAACAAGGCGTCATTCTTAACCCCAGAGCTTCTTTGCGCATGCTCCTGGAGCTGTAAAAGCGCGTTCGCTTTTTGCAGATGTTTAGAGTTGCATTTATTCTATTCTATTTTTCTTTTCCAAGTCCTTCCCCCCCCCCTAAAGTCTACTTGTTCTTCTCGGTCTCGAAAAGAGAGGTTTCGCGACAGCCATGCGTGTTATAGGGCAGAAACAGTACCATCTGAGAGGAGATTTCATTTCCTAAGGAGAAAATTTTGCCTTTGTTTCGCTCCATGTACAACATGGCATGATGGCTGTCGCGAAACCTGTTCATGAGAAAATCACCTACCTCACTTTGAGGTTAGTCGTGTCCTGGCTATCACTGTTTACAATATTGCGTGCTTTAATTTTAATCATTTAGTTTATACTGACTGCGTTTCTTTGTTTAACTAACTCAAGGTACACAAAGAAACCTGGCGCTCTTTATGCCATTGTATTGAAATGGCCAAGCAAGTCTAATAAAGTAGTTCTTCGAGAGCCCATCGCGTCTTCAAAGACCGAAGTCACAATGTTGGGTTTTTCAGGCACCTTTGGCTGGAAGGCTACGAGCCCTAAAGGTATCGTTATTGATGTTCCTCCAATACCTATAGATACACTGCCATCCAAGTGGGCTTGGGTGTTCAAGATCATCAATATCTCATAATTAAAACCCTGAAGTCTTGATATACAACTGAGAATAAAGACCGTTATGCATCCATAAATGATATACCATGATCAATTTATTTAAAATTTTAACTAGATTGTGCAACCTTTGAATCAAGATGTTTTTCAGCCGAGAAAATGAAACATGAATATTTATGGTATAGATCTGTCATTAGTTGGTCTATCGGTCACCGCGTTCTTGAAGCAAGAAAACTTTCTCACTGTTGACTTTAAAATATTAATTACTTTTGCAAATTGTTATCGTTAGGTGTAGCTGATAAATTGATATTCTGGTTTTTTTTTTCTGACTGTTTAAAAATTACCAAATTCTCGAAATTTAAAAAAAATGAAAAAACAAAATTAGAAATTAATAGACAAAAACCAAGATTATTTTTTGAAGTTACATATGCGAAAGCTTTCAACTCCAATTCTGATGACTCGAAAACTTTTTGCTAATTTGAATTCGATTTCAAAAGATGTTTACCTCATTGACATACACTCTTTCTATTTCATTGTATTAATAGTTCTGCGCCCTAAACAGCTCTTATCAATTTTCTGGTAAACAATCTTTYGATTAAATATCGTATTACGATTTTTATTAACCCCACAACACCTGCTCTCTAACACCTTGCTCGATTCAGTGCAGTTTGAAACAGTCAGGCTAGAGTGCGTCGTTCTTTGCTATTGCATGGCCTTGGCGGCTTAGGAGGCGACGAGTTCCTTATTCTGTAGTCTTCAAAGAAAACTTCGGATCGACGAATTTAGCTTGGAAAAATCTAGGAATCAAGGATCAGGATTATCTTCCAATTAACTGAACTAATCATCAATTGGAACACCTGTTTAGTTTGAAACGTTCACTCTTTAATTTCCTTGTTCAGGAAGAAACAAGGACTGACTTTTGCTTGACCTGAATGACCACACCTCGAAGTCTACAGAATACAGTGCATATCAATGTTAGGTTTGTAAGGACTCCTGCGTGATCCGAACAAATCATTTCAAGCTTGAAGGGATTTGCTTATTCGTTTGAAGCTCGCTAAAGGTCRTTGTGACCTTGAGCTGAGCCTTAACCGAAAGGTTGCTGTGTGCCTGTACTCTGCTGAACTCGAGGAAAGCCTTTATACCTTTTATCAGAAGATAGTGGTAGTCTCGTCAAAGATGAACTCTTCAAATCTTAATGACTCGGACGCTGYTACTTATCCCAAATGTTTCCACGTACGAAATTCCTTCACTGACGCACCTCAGGTCTACTTCACTCTCATTACTTCATGTGTCATGAATAGCGTCCTCAGTGTGTTATCTGTAACGGGTAACTCTCTGGTTCTTCTTGCCATCAACAAGACCCGATCTCTACGCAATCCATCGTACTGTGTTCTCTTCAGTCTCGCTGTTGTTGATTTTTGTGTTGGTCTCTTCGCTCTTCCATCGTTTGTTGTTTTCAAGGCATATGAATTAAAACTCTCATCAGCAGAATCTTTGGAAGACAAGAAGTACTACTTCGAAGTGTACTGTGCCTTTGGACTCATTGCAGATGGTTTTGGACTGATGTTATCTTTAGTCTCCGGCACTTTACTTGGTGTAGTCTCGGTAGAAAAATACCTTGCTATAGTTCTACACCTCAGATATGCTGAAGTTGTCACCAACGAGAGAGTTATCAAGGTAGTCATTGGTATTTGGATTTTTGCTCTAAGCCTTACCGTTTGGCTTTTTGCAGCTCAGAAACGTCATCTAAATTATATCACAATAGTCACTGTCGCCAGCTTCTTTTTAGTGTTATTCCTTGTGATATTCTGCAACGTAAAAATAGCTCTGATCCTGAGAAAACACAAAAAACAAATCGCTGACGCGACTAAAAGCACCACCATACAAATGGAAAGCACCCGAGATGCAACTAGCATCAAAAGGTATAAAAAGTCTGTTTCATCGATGGCATACGTTATGATACTGTACCTCCTATGCTTCGTCCCACATGGTATAACGATGTTGATCAAGATTAGTAAAGAGGACTACGATTTTGATTCTATTATAGGAACTATCAACATAACCATACCTCTCGTGTTTTTGAATTCTTCTTTAAATCCTTTGCTTTATTGCTGGCGTTTCAGAGACATTAGAAGTGCTGTAGTGAGGATTATCAAGAAAGTGTTTCGCGCAAGTCCTGAGGGCAGTTAAAAAGTCGTTTAGTTTGTAGAATACTGTTGGTGTTTCGGCTATAAAGTTCTAATGCGAGACTCCGATTCGACTGATCTGCTTGTTAGCCGTGTTATGACTACATCATCCTATTAGGCCTCGAGAGGTTGTTTCAGGGTTCAATGAAGTTGGTAATCCTAGCATCTTTTTCTTGCAAGAGCGAGACATCTTAAAAGCCAAATAAACTAAAGTCTTGAACAAAATAAACAGACAGTCAAACAAACAAGTAAACTAATCAACAAGAAAACAAACAAACAAGCAAACAAACTGCTTGATGTCGTACTAGTATAAGCTAACGTTTCTAGATTTCAAGATTTAGCGCCATTTATGAGCTCCCGAAAATGGCGCTATATGAATGCCAATTTATTATTCTTTAATATTATTATATTTTGGTGTGTGAACGCAAGCGACAAGAATAACGCATGAAAACGAGAATAACACTTGAACTGAATGAAATAAAATATGTCCAACTGAAGTATTTTTTGGACATGAAATTAGACTGGATTTTAATGAAATTATATTAGTGTCAACAGCACAGATAATGATAGGAACTGTTTGGCTTAATAATAGGATATATCGCAGCTTACAACGGCTTTGTGGACGTATATGTTGTTTTCAAGGCATATGAATTAAAGCTCTCATCAGCAAAATCTTCTAGCTAGAAGGTGTCACATAGGAAGGTCTAAACCTTTACACAAAACATTAGTGTTCTATGCAAAATTGATTGAAAATAGTTGGCGAAAAAAGGAAATATGTTATAACCACATAGTTAAGTTTACGCAAAAATTAACGAAACAAAAAACAACAACAAAAAACATATACAAAAGGAGCTTTGCAAACATCCAGTACAGGTGGTATTTTAATTAGTTTTTTTGGCAAGAATAGCTAAGATAATTAGTAAAGAGGAAACGAAAAACAAGGGGAGCAAAACAAAACCCACACTCTCATTTCGAATGGCAAAGTAATATTTTCTTAGGGTTGGTGAAAGTAATCTATAACAAAAAGAAAGACAAAGAAAACAAAAATCAAAATGCACACATTGATCGTGAATAGGTATATCTTAATATACCTTATTAAGTTAAAACTTTTCTTAGGAGAGTTAGCACGTGGTAGCAAAAACATTAAAAACRAAATCTAAGAGACAAAACAGGAGTTCTCTACACCTAGCACATGAATTGTCGTGGATAACGCGCAAAAAGCAGCTTGATGTTCAAGACGTTTTTAAAAAACGAAGGACAGTACAACTAAGGTATGAATTCGTCTAGCATCCACCCAACAGACTGACCCTGCTATGGTGAACGCTGTACACTTGTACCCAGGTCCTCTCTGCTGATCATGTAGGAAAGGAGTTCTCCATATCCGCTCTTGTATCCAAGCAACCCTACCCCTGGATCCCATGGGGTTCCTACGACGAGACATTATAGCAATAGCACCTTATTACCTGTCTTTTGATGATCATTCAAAGGAGTTGCCAATCCTCTCCCTGGCATCCAAACAACCCCACCCCTGGACCCCATGGGGCTCCTATGACGAGAATGTGTTCTGATGATCATTCAAAGAAAAAGTTGCTCACCTCTCCCTGGCATCCAAACAACCCCACCCCTGGACCCCATGGGGCTCCTATGACGAGAATGTGTTCTGATGATCATTCAATGAAGGAGTTGCCAATCCTCTCCCTGGCA